AAGATTTTTAACGCTATTATAGATGCTGCTTGCGTCGCAGCTATGCAAATGTATTAGACCAAAAAAACTATCCTTAACTTTATTAACGGTGTTGTGGTAATATCGAAGCAAAACCACTAGCGATATCTTCGTTAAAATGTCGGTTGTCTCGTCTATTATAAGGGACCATCCCTGACTACATATGGCAACGCCATCAAAAAGAAAAAAGGGCTTTATGGAGGAAAGAATGCAAGGATATCGAAGATATGCCGAGCTATGCCAGACTCTATAAAGAACTCTCAAAGGAACCACAGCAAAAAATGGGGTCCCTGATAAAACCACAAGGAGGATATACAATAACAGAAGAGGAGTCTCTGGAGCTTATGCTTAAGACTTACCTTCCTGGATCAATACTGGGAACAAGCAGAGAACTGGAGATACCGGTGACCTACAGGACGCGACAGCGTGTACTGAAAGAGCACTGGACTCTTGCCTCAAGCATCGTAAACCAGTCCAAAGTTAAGTTGGCCATGAGTTCCTTCAGACCATTTAAATCACCGGGAACAGATAGCCAGTTCTGCTACAACAGGGAACCGATTTACTGGTACCCCTCTTGTGCAAGATGCTCCGGGTCAGCTTGGCCCTGGCATATATACCAATGGAATGGAGAATGGCGAAAGTAGTATTCAAACCAAAACCAGGGCGGGTGACGTATGCCCAAGCCAAATTCTTTCGCCCGATCAGCCTAACATCCTTCTTACTCAAAACACTAGAAAAGCTGATTGACAGACACATCAGGAAAAAGGTTGTTACTAGAAGTCCTCTACACCACAACCAATATGCCTATCAAATGGGAAAATCCTGCAAATCTGCTATCCACGATTTGGTACAGAGGGCACAAACCTCATTAGAGCGTAAAGAAATTGCTCTGGCGGCTAGAAAATTCTCAATCGCAAAAGACCATTCTGCGAAGTTTTCGCGACCTTTTAACTTCGGCACATTTACTATGAAATTCGATGCCATTTGAAATCCGAAAACTTCAATTCAGTTGCAAAAAAAAATTCATTCAATTCCACAGATACCCACGCCACGAATGTACGTCTGGGCCCATGACCTGTTAAAATGAAACACACACTTGAAGGTTTTTTAATCGACTAACTTCTTTATTGCCAAAAGTGTCACTCTACATTTTGACAATGAGCCACTTACATGGTAGGCAACTTAAACTAAATATTTGGTACTATCCTAGTTTTTTAACATGTTTGTGACATTAATGTTGACCACATTAGTTTTACTTGCGTCATATTCAAGCTTTTCAATATTGAAGCAATGGAATTATTTTTCCTGAAATTGGGTTCCGAATCTCGAGAGAAAATTGTTTGCATTTGAGATTGGTTGGTTAAATTTTTGAATTCTAATGCTGATGTGCCGTTATTTACTTATGTTAAACAGGCTGGAATTTTTGCGATATTCTCGTCATAGATTATGTCGTCGTTTATCAGAATTTCGGTTCCATTTGGGAAATCAGTCTTAATACTTTTTATAACAGAAGAGTGTGGGGAATTTCTATTTTCTGTGTCTTCAAATTGGTTCTGTATAAGAATGGTATTTTTATTTCTTTATGGAAGAGATATTGGTTGTGCAGATCTAACGTCAAGTTTAAATCTCTTAGTTTTTTAGTCCCATTATACCATCAAAGTATTCGTGGAATGAGAATAACATAAACTCGATTGGGCTGTTAATTTGGAACTCTTTTAGAAAAATTATTTTTGCTTTGATTTTGCTTGAATTTTCTCCATCACAGGTTTTAATAGAAGTCGTGCTTCGGTATATTTTGTCAGTGTGGCATTGCATAGGGACAATCAATTATTATCTCGTAACTCTTTAAATTAACTTTGAAATTTGTGGACTGGGAAAATGATCTAAACTATACTAGCCTTAAAAGACGGTTTTCGAATGATCTTTAGGATCAATTTCAATTTGATGGAATCCAGAGGCAAGATCAAGTGTGGTAAAATATTTTCCAAGTTGATGAAGTAAATTAGAAATGTTTGGAAGTGGGTATTTGTCATCGATAGTGAGTTCATTGAACTTTCTGTAGTCAATAACTACTCTCAATTTTTGTTTTTCAGAGGAATCTAATTTCTTGTCTTGAATTGTTACTTGTTCAGGAAAACGTTGTTTAAAGATTTTGACAGTGTTTTATTTGAAAATTGAAATACCTGCACCAGTGTCAATTAGTAGTTTATATGTTTTAGTTGCGTCGATAATATAATGGAGATTTTAGGTATTCATTGTTAGGAGAAAATGTATAAAAAGTTCTGATTTGGGTGAGAATTAATTGCTTTGTTTAGATTCAGGGTTTGAATTTGATTGTTTATTTCATTGATTTCTTCCGTATTCGTTTCAATATGTTTTGCTTCGGGTTGGACTGAAAATTTTGGTTATCTTCAAATAGTTCGTTTGAAATGGATATAAATTCTTCATTGTTGTCGAAGTAGTATTCCGGTCTTTCGGGGTTGTACATAGTATATGGTCTATCATCAGTATCACACTGAGGACTTGCGGGATCATGTCACATATCTTCAGGGGTGTATTCGTTATCGTCATTGTTTGAGATGGTGTTATATTTAAAATAATTCTGAGGGTTTTCAATCATTTGATTGTGACTTCGAATGACATGAGTTCTGAATTTATTTAATTTTAAATTCGGTTTATATTTTGAATTATTTTTAATTACAGTTGGTCGAAAATTGTTTTGAGGGTTTGAGAATTGGGGTCTCTAAAGGTTTAGTTGTTGATTGTTTGATGATTGGGTGCCGTTTTATACGACTTTGTGCTTTTAAGATGTCTTTTGGGTTGCATGCACGAAGTATGTGACCAATTTTCGGTTCTAAACATGTTAGAAGGGTATTGAGTGTTATACACCCAATTAGACTTATTTGAGCTCATTTTTCAACAAAAGATAAATTAGTTTTTTATATATTTTCATGCATTTTGCATTTAGAGATTGGATTCTGTTTAAAAATGTTAACGGAGATTCGTTAGGACTTTGTTTTATTCGTTGTAAATCTTGAATGAGAGAGTTTAGATCGCAAGTATTACCAAAATGTTCATTGAGGAGTTATTTGATTTCAGAATACGTCCAAGGCTGCGTGCTGCTCTTCCGCGATATTTGTTTTTTATGTGAATCACTACTAGAACTTGTTGGTTTCCTGTGGACATACTGTAGACATGATCACAAGCATTTAAAAACGTTTGCAAGAATATTTGTTTTCCTTTAAATTCAGGGATTATTGAAAATATTTCAACAAGTTTGTACAGTTCTACTTTTATTGATTGAACTTCTGAGCTATCGGACTGTATGTTTGTTTGATGATTTGAAATTAGTTGTTATTATTTAAATATTATTTTTTTGAATGGTTGAACAGTTTTGTTTTGTTAAATTAAACAAATGGAAATATAATGATTTAATGTTTTACTTACAATTGGAAAATCATCTAATCGTCGTGTTCTTTACGCTGATTTAACTACCAGGGGCTTCACTGGGTGTTCCTAATCCGTAGTTCACCGTGAGTGAAGGCGGCGTCTTTTTCTTCCGGGGTTGGTTTTGCTGTCAAGGGATTGGAATCCACCGTCGTTCGTTGGAAAACTCCTGTTCCGGCTTCGTTCAAAGATCCTACCGACTGCGCCAGTTGTTATATTTGATGCACAAATATAATATATAAAACACTTTATTCATTTAAACTCTTTATAATATTTACACTTAGAATATTTAGAAATGGAACAGGAAATACGTCTGATTAATCTGAAGTCTATTAAAAGTGAACGTTTGTTACCGGACCTGTCTAACTTTTGATACAATTAAAATGACGGGGTAAACAATATTAGAGTCATGTGGAAAAGTACTGTTGCAATAAACAAAAAAATTAAAAGAGTCTTAAATTCTATTCCAAAATTCCACTAACAATGTAATTACATGATATGTATTAAGATTTTTTAAGAGACATGTACGTACCTGCTGTGGCTGACTGAATAATTTGTTCGTCTGTTAGTGCTTTGGTTGCTACAATGTCATCATCAATCGTAGCGTATTTTTCAAAATCGAAATCGTCCCATTTCTTCCTCATTTCCACTGTAATGGCGGTTTCAGTTACCGTAGAATGAGGATCTTCTCTATGTTTTATTAGCCACTCATTTATTGGTACTTCGTCATCTAAACAAAAACCATCTTTTTCAAAAAATCCGGCATGTTGAAAACAGTTTGCAATTATTTCACGCGTGACCTGCTAAGCCAGATGAATAAAATTTACAGCATTTAAAATGCTTACTGATAGATATTTTTTACTGTCAAATGCTTCTACCATCTTCATTAGCATAATTTTTCTGTAATGACTTTCTAAAGAATTAATTACCTCTTGATCCATGGGTTGCAGCTTTGAACTGGTATTAGGCGGCATAAAAACCAAACTGATTTTTCCATTGTTAACTACCAGAACAAGACTAAAAACTAAACTTATCAAATTCACTCTTTTCACGATACAGTCTGCAACACTACTGATAAAATGAATGTACTTTACATGAGAAGTTAAAATCGGGCAACTAAGGGGGAACCACAGGAATTACACGGGGAATACCCGAAAAGTTTGCTATAAACGGAAATTTTATACCTTACGTAAAAAAAATTGGTTCACTTTATCCGAAAGTTTATTAGAAGTCGGTTCATTGTAACCGGATAAAAAATGTATTAAGCCGGGTCTAAAATATGTAACAAAACATGTTGGTAACAAAGTTATACAACAAATTAGTTGTGTAACTTGTTATAATATAGCAGAAGCATCTACACTACATAACCAAAAACAAAACAAAACAGTGCGCATAATTTTTGCAACATATCAGCTGGTAGTATATGAAATGGCGTCAAACGTAGGAGAAGCAATTATTGCAGCAGTAGCTTGTGTTATTTTGTGTGGACGGCATCGGCGTGTTAAACGAAGATTTTGGGAGCGGCCATCATTAAAAGATCGAGAAAAATATAGTGGTACAGCTTTTTAACTGATCTGGAAAGAGATGACCTAGATCGATCGACAGGAGACATTAAATCTGATGGTAGTTTTAAAAACTTCTGCAGAATGACAAGTTCTGATTTTGAATACCTTATAAATGAAATCCTCCATAAAATAGACAGGGAGGGCACAACATTTCGAGATGCAATTCCAGTAAGAGAAAGATCAGCAGTTACGCTGAGATTCTTAGCAAGTGGAGAATCCTACCAAAGTTTGAGTTATTTATTCAAATTTTCTAATATTGTGCCGGAAGTTTGTGACGCTTTCATTGACTGTTTGAGCGACAGAATCAAGTAAGTATTTTTTTGAAATATTTTATTCATTTAGTTTCAGAAGATAGAAATAAATACATACATGTAACTTAAAGATTCACTAATATATTTATAAATTTGTATTCAGTATTGTCTTCTGCTCCTGTGCATGATTGAGTGTCAACAGAGGTTTTATTTGGTGTATTGGGGTCTGCTTGAAATGGTGTAGGTGGGGAAGTAGCTGGTGTATTGCATGATTGAGTGTCTATTGTAATTAATGTGGCTGATAAAGCAGTAGGCGTTGGTGTCCAAGGTGATGGTATGTCTGAGCACTCTGCTCGGTAGAGAATATTATTTATTTCAAATTTTGCGTGGCTCATCACTGATTTGCTTTTGAGGTTCCGCAAGGTGCTCGCTACATATTCACCATATACATCAAATTCATCTCGCTTCTTCACGTTACTTGATAATTGTTTCATTACAGCGTACACTTTTTCAGATTTCGTGTCTACTGCCCTTCTCTTGCTGGATTTAGTTACAGGTATACGTGTAATAGTCTTATCTACAGTTATTTCTTGACGTTTTTATGTTTCACATTGCTCATTTTTATGTGGCTCTATATCTATATGTAAATATCTCTAAACAAACAATATGTAAATACCTGCCAAGCTACGATAATTGTATTTAAATGCATATAATGATGAAGTATTTTTGGACAAAGTACCTGCGTTTTTAATTAAATAAATATTGCATTTTATATTTGGCAGATGAATGCAAATCTTGCGCTATTTTGATTTTATTGTATTATTTATGGTATTTGATTTGTACCAACCATAATTTACAGCAGTTTCTGATATGGGTATATCTACTATTGGGTCTTGTTCATCATTTGTAGGAGCAGTGACATCATCCTCTTCGCATTGTGGAATTTCTATTAATTCTTCATCGGGTTGGGCCACAGACATTTTATATATATCTTGGCTAGTAGATCGTTGGAGGTTTTTATTTAACTTTTTATTCTAGGGATTTGTTGAATTATTTTAAATAATTTTGTGGATGGATTATCGTTAGTTTCTTTAGTATGAATTTCTATTCGAATTAGAGCAATTGCGTTGGTATTTAACTTTCCTTTGTATGTAATTTTATAGTCAAACTCTTCAAGATTAATTCTCCATCGTAAAAGTTTTGAAGATGGGTCTTTCACGGAAAATAGGCATTGAAGCGACTTGTCATCTGTGAGGAAATTAAATTTTTTACCAAAAAGGTATGGTCTGAAGTATTTTGTTGCCCAAACAAGACATAAGCATTCTTTTTCAATTGTGGAATAATTAAGTTCTGAGTCGTTAAAGTTCGTGATGCGAAAGCGATTGGCAAATCTTGACCTATTGGTACTTGGGATAGTACTGCGCTAAGCGCTACATTGCTAGCGTCTTTTGTCAAATTGAAAGTTTTTGAAAAATCTGAATATTGTAAGATCCAGATGTATGATGTAATGATTGTAAGAAAGATAATAATTCTGAAGAATCTTTTTTAAAAACTATATTTTTACTAATAATACGTTTTTTTAACTTAACAATTTCCGGTGAATAGCTTATAGAATTTAATAGTGTACCTATATTCAGCACAAACGTGGGCTAGCGGTTGGTCAGCATTTCAGATTCCGTTCAGATATTATTATAGCGAAACTGGTGTATAGTTTATAATTTTCATTGAAGAGTAAGTAACCAGTATTATTTAAGATAAAATATTTCTTAGAGCCGGATTCACAGCTCAACGATATTTCTGCTGGTTTTGGAATGATATAGTTTAGGTGTTAACAATTTCCCTCATCCTTCGTTTATGTGTTGGCCTCCTTTGTAGGATGACCTGAGTGAAGTGTTAATTGTTCTTCGTCTGTTCTTTTATGTTCGCTTATTCCTAGTATATCCCATTTGATATAGGAGAGTTCTTCCTCGAGTTCTTGTAGTTTCTGGGTTTTTGATAAAGTTCTGGTATTTAGAGTAGCGATGGTCAGTTTTTGGTTTTGGTAGCCTATTCTGTACCGGCGGTCATTACAATATTTCAATTCGCTAATTGTATGAATTAGAGAAGAGACTTAGAATTCAATCGATATTAACCCTTCAATCACGGTATTTTGGCGAAATTTCTATAAATTCTACGAACCTCCCGAATATCAACTTAACGAAGACTTCACTCAAACTAGATCTTTATCATCTAAAATTGTTATTGAAAAGAGTGACATTTCAGGGGTTAAAGATGAAATGGCCGTATTAACTTACTTAGCAGGATATTGTTGTTGCATTGCATTAACGCAATTAAAGTGTACTTTCTGCAAGGAAAAATTAGTGCTTGACAAAGAATTTGTTGTAGAAGATTGCTTTGATTTAATTAAGGCACTTAACCGTGGATGACTTTTGTATCCGCATGAAAAAGCAATAAACATGATGCTTTACAGTTACATCATTCTAAAAAAAGTTATTCAGGATTTTAAAGATATATTTTTAGAAGCTTTTAATAAAAAAAATGCAACCTATTTCTAAATTATCTTATTGACCAAGGACACCTTACTCATTTTCAGGGCTGTAGTAATCATTCAATAAAAAATATTGCAAATATTATCATCAGCAGTGTCCAATACACTTATTAACAATTATTGTGGAAAAACTAATAATCATTTAGGGAATACCGAAATAACAAATTATTCATACAAGTTTACTGACCGCTTAAATGCACTTTTTTTGAAAAATTTATATTTTCTTCAGGTAGTGAACTTGGTATGCAAAACTGACAAAAAATGGGAAAAAATCATCCAATTAACAAAATGATTAGGGAATATAATCCATACCAACGCCCTTTTTTTTTCTAGTCTAGTCTTTTTTCTACAAATTGTGGAAATCTGAAGTATTTTACGAAGAAATGGTACTCTTAATTTCCTTCGCTCAGACGCACCATTTTCCAATTAAATTACTTTAAAAATATCACTGTTTTATAAACACATGAAGCAAAAATGGCGTGTAAAGTTATGTGTGTTCGTTTTTTTATGTTTGTCAATTGCTAGAGAATATTCCTATAAGCACTCGGTTAGAAATGTTCTTCCAGCATGATGGGGCCCCATCCCAATTTGGCCAACCTGTGAGAAATTGGCTAAACCAACATTTTCCAAGCAGGTGGATAGGTAGAGGTGGAACATTAAACTGCCCAGCTCGATCGCCTGATCTAAACTCTTTGGATTATTATCTGTGGCGTAATATGTCCAATATTATTTATGCCACAGAAGTAGATAGTCCAGAAGAGCTTCTAAGGCAAAAACCCGACTACAAATTTGCATTTGCAAAAACCCCTACTACTGAGCTGCTCTTCAAGAAGGCGTAGCTCCGTTAGGGAGCATTTTTCGATACATGTTTATTTGAAAAATTAATATTATTTTTGAGGGCAGATTTCTCTGTTTCAGTTTGGCCACATAATTTCGGGACACCCTGTATAAGTCTGAAATTAGTAATTTAATTCCTGTGAAAATTAAATATTTTTTTTGAGTCTTACAATGTTACATTCTAGGGACTATTCTAGGAAATCTAGGAAAAAACAACTATAAAAGTAACGTATTTTTATTAATACTACAGTAACATATTGTACCGTGGATGGCCGGGTATGAAACTCTTTCTTCTGCTTCCAACATTTATTCCACTCGGTACAACTTTAACTACGGAACAGGAACAAACTAACTTCTAAATTAACGTCAACTTCACAAACAATAACAATAACAAACGGAAAACACGCGTTTCGGACTCGCGGGGTTTAACCTCTTCTGCACTCAGGCGCGGCTGTCACTTCACTCCCCTGTGTGGTTCTCTTCGTCGCTTATATAGTTTTCTCCAGGTATCCCAGATAGTTCTCGAAATCTCCAGAACAGGTGCGAAATTTCCCGCTTGTCAGTGTCATATTTGACAGTAAATGGGGCCCAAATGGGGTTCCTATTTACTGAAATACCATGAATTTCGATCCCCCTTTCCAAACGTGAGTACCCCAGGCCATTTCCGTTACAATATTTAAAGCGATGTCATTAACTTCTTAACTATCTGGTTTGCATAACCGATCTTTTTTCCTGCATGTTGTTTTTTTGGTTTTAAACAGTCGTCTTTGTTGTGCAATCTTTTTATTATGGGGTATACTTTTAACTGTTTTGTTACAAACGTCGTTATTTTTTAAATTTGTAAAAGCGGTTAGAGTTGGCACGAGAGGAGCTAATGTTTGTTTTGCTATGTCCAACTCCTCAGAACACTCAAGGCTGTTGATAACTTTCAACAATTCAAATATAAATTTTTCTTTATCACTCATAAAGTTATCATTTCTATTTAATTTTGATCTAGTAGTTAGTGCATTAACAATCGGTATATTTTGATCATCGGTACTCAAGTTTTCGTCAATTGTTAAATAGGCCTCTTTATCTAAAAATAAATCTGGTGTTAGACTTAGATGACAACTAACGTAATATTATTATGTTGCACATTTGTCTAGTGTATGTCCCTCTTCCTAAATAATAATAATGTAAATACAGTGCAAACTAAATATATTTAAAACATGTAAATGGCTAGTCCCACTAAACTTATTTTACCAACAGGAGCTCATACAGCTTCTGGAGCGGCATGTTTTTCATGCCTGCCTTTCATGTTCTGTAATCCGCACGTTCGACGTTAAGAAGGCAAAAAACATGCCACTTTAAATGTCTCCTATAATACGGTTGACGATCGAAATTTCTAAAGTAGTTTTACATATCAAACTATTGCCAGGATATATTGTTTTTATCCTATCACAAATTACTAATGAGTCACTTTAAATATTTCGTCTATAGTCACATGACAATGCCAACTTCCATAATAATGACGTAATTTAAATAACCATTTAAAATAATATAAGACCAACTATTCCGATAGTTCTAAATGCAAGCAACAAAAACCAAACACAATTTATTACCTCTTATTTTCTGTTCATACTGTGTCTTCAAAACATGTTTTGAAATGAAAAAAATACCATCATTATATTCATATTATACAACACTTAACTTTAACTTTCCCCTAAGTTGGAAATGCCCTCAACAGAAAGTCATTTTTATATTAAAATAGGAAGCAACGACTTCTAATCACACAATCCATCGATTAGCTGTGTTTTTGTTAGCCTCGGGGCACTTATCTTCCACTACTTAGGGGATTTAAAGTATGTTATAAACTGTGGTTTACCTACCTAAACATCGAGAAACTGGATTGTCATCACTGGTGCCCGCATTATAAGTCTTTAGAAATTTACATAGGAGGTGGATATGCTTACACATGTTCCATTTAATTGAAGAGTCCAAGCACGAACATGAATAGCTGTGAAGGCACTTTTCACAGTAAGAACATACTAACTTGCAGTTACAATTAATCTGTCTTTCTTCAATTTGGTATAAATCTTGTGTGGATGATGATGGAATTGTCCAACCCGTTTCATTGACCATTACTGAATTAATATCTAGTGTATCACTAGTTTTATGTCTTGCTCGTAACTCTTTCAATTTTGTAGACATTTTTCCCTTGTTCACAACTGTTAAGTGGTTAAATAATTTATCCCGGACAAATTTAATTAAAAGGTATATAGCCTGATCAAGGCGTTTATTGACCTTTCCATTTAGGTCAATATATTTGATGCCACGGTGCATGTTTTCAATATGCATGTTGGTGTTTAGACCAGTATTTATACGGTAGCAGTAGGCCCATGACTCAACATTCCTTGCATAATATTCATTGAAATATTCACCAAAAGCTACAGTGGTTGTATCTCCTAACAAACTTTCTATAAAGGTATTAAGCATTGCAGAAAATGCATTTTTATCCGTTTCTTGAAGTAAGGCTCGAAGTTTTCTATAAACAACCACCTAAAAAAAATATATTTGGTTACTGTCAGCCCTAAATCTCCTACCACGGATCATTCTGACACACAAAGTGGACATTTAATATATGTTTGAAATATTATGTGAAGTAATTAATTTTAAACTAAACTTTAATTTAAAATTTAGCTAAAAAAAGTTTTTAACTTGATGTCTGTTAATTTTTAGAAAATTCACTGTTATAAAATATTTGTAAGATCATTTTATAATTAACAGTTCCTGATTATTATGAGAATTTTAAAAATATATATAGAAAGTACCTAACGCTTAAAAGCGACACTTATGCATTATAGAAATAATTTTTGTACATGCCTGCTTTTCCCTAGAATTAATCTTAGATAAATTATTACGCAGGCTCTATCAACGTGCCATGTGCAATATAGTCTGTGGAGGGGCAAATCCATCACTCGCACCCAAGCATTGTAAAAAACCGGAGCCATATCTTTCATAAAAACCTGTGATTTTAGTGATCTACCTAACTTGTTTCTTAGTCATAAAAAATATGTACATCATTTCTTCATCTGATCGGTTTGAAATTAGGAAGGCGCATGGGAATCCCTCACGCATGTCATCCAATATTAAAACTGTAGTTAGGTTAAACTCATACATGTTTAACCCATGAGTTTCGTCAACACAGATACAGACATCCCCATATTTATCCAGCATTTCAAGCTGGCCTTGATTCATGATTATCAAGACAGTCATCATTTTTTAGTGATGTATATTCATTGCAACATTCTGCCTGAGGTTTATAAAATAAAACAATTCCTGTATTTTCCATCTCTTTCACCCATGCTTCTACACTTATTGAATCATTGCTGTGTCTGCGGGCATCACTGTTAAGATTTAAACTTCTTTCTATATTATGTAAATATTTTTTTGTTAAAAGGTGACATCTCTCCAAAGTACCATTTATTGACTCTCGAACATCATCTAAAATTTTTTCAAATGGAACTTTAGATGCAATTTGCACAGCCAATGTTTGCCGTTCCAACGCATTTAAATTTACGTGACCCAAATCAGTGGTATGGCCTACGTTAGTAGTAAGTAACATAAGTTATTTCAAACTTGTCATCTATTTTCTTGACAGAAATTTCTGCAGGGCAATATCTATCGATTTTTTTTGAACCTCGAGTTTTCAGGTGTCGTATATGTTGCCCTTTACTCTTGTAAAATCCAGACCGATGGCAGATATACATTGTCTTAGTGAATATATTATTATTTTTTGTTCCATATGCATTTACAAATAGTTCATTCGTTTCGCTTTCTTCTTGCTTTTTTCAGGTCTCAAATTTTTCTAAACTATTAAAATACAACTGTTACAACAAAATACGACTATATCTATATCATGTCTCATTTTAAAATGTTCATGCAAATCAGGTTTTGTAAAATAACTCGCATCAGATTTATTTTTGCATAAAATGCACTTTAGGCCGCTGGATTTCTGTGCTTCATGGGATTTCTTGTGATATTTTAAATGCCGCAAATGTGTAAAATGTTTTTGACATTTATCACATTCAAAAGCGTATTTCTTAGGCTTGGTAAGTTCATTTAATTTATCTAAAATAAGAAATTAAAAAATGAATTCTTAAAAATTGAGGACATCATTTTTTTTACCTTTGTGATATTTTTTGACATGCTGCGTTAGATTCGAGTATTTTACAAATGTTTTATTGCACTCGTTGCAGACTGCAGAACACTTAAACGTTCTAAGGGGTGCCAGGTCGTTTAAGTTACCTACAAATAATATTTATACATAGCCAATAACTTTATTAAGGTTAAAAAAATGTATTTCTTACCTGGGTGAAATTTTTTTATGTGCGCCCTTAAATTATATGGTTCGCCAAAGTTCTTGTTGCAAATATTACAAGTTATAGTGTAGTTCATTTTCAAATTCAAAGTAAATTACAATAAATACAAAACCACTCGAAGAAATAAGAAACACTATACAATCGCAAATGTTTACTACTTTCTAACTTTCGACTTTTTAGGCATAAAATTTTTTAGATAACCAAGCGTACGCGTACAATGTCAAAGCCAAAGTGGAAACCGGGGCGCTAGCCGCCAGTATTTTTGCTACCCTGTCCATATTCATTCGAGTGACGTGGTCATTCCAGGCTCTACGACGCTTCCGTCCCCATCTGACTATGTCCTCGATCTCGCACTCGTTTCTTGTGTCAGTGTTCCTTTTCCTGTCTCTTAGGGTGTATCCTGCTATATTCCTCAGTATTTTCATTTCCGTTGTTCGCGGGATATTTTTGGTTCGACTGGTGTGTGCTCGGGTTTCTGTAGCGTATGTCAGTACGGGTCGTACGCAAGTTTTATAGATCTTAGTTTTAGCCTGTTTCCCCATGTGTTTGTAGTTCCATACTACGTCTCGTAGAGCACTTGCTACCCTGCTAGCGTTGTTTGCTTGGACCCTTACTTCATTGTCTCTGTTTTGACTGGAGGTTATTTGCACTCCCAGGTAGATAAACTTCATTACGGGCTCTACTAAATTATTATCGAGTGCGAGTTTACATCTGACGGGGTCTTTAGCGATTACGAGTGTTTTTGTTTTGGAAGTGGATATTTGCATGTTGTAGGCCATAGCTTTGACAGAATGCGTGCAACTGTTTTTGAAGGTCATCCTCGCTTTCAGCTATGATAACAGCATCGTCATAGCAAAGTAAATTATTTTTATTTCGCCAGTTGTAAGTCTGTACCCTCTGCCCGAGTTTTTGACGTGACTAATTATTTCATTTATTATTATGTTAAACAGCTGAGGGCTTAGAGAATCTCCCTGTCTAATTCCCGATGGCGTTGGAATTTTCTCTGGCAGTTTTTGATTTATTGAGATGTGAGTCGAAGTGTTGACGTTTAACTGTTTGATAGTTTCTATAACAGCTTCAGGTATGTGTTTCCTCCTTAAAATATTGATAACATCGAACAGTTTTACTCGATAAAGCAGAAAAATGCGGGTTTTCCGTACTCAATGGGTTTTTCCACCATTTGCTTGATTGTAAAGATATCGTCTAGCGTCGATCTATTTTATCTGAAACCTCGTTCTTCTGACATTTGGTGATGTTCGGTAAACGTTCGGTGATGATTGATTCCAAAATTTCTGTGAACAGTTTCATAGTTGAGGCTGGTAGTGTTATGCTTCTGTAGTTTTCAGGAGATTTATTATTAGATATACCCACGCGTAAAATATTGTTAGAATCCAAGAACGGATTCAATGAAATTAGATTGCCCTTTGATGATAAAGGTTTTCCTTTCATTAAGTCATGAAGATCGCTCTTAAACTCTTGCGCCTGTACTAATTGTACGAGCCGAAATAAGCTATGGTTCAATTCCTTGAGATAAAGTTTCGCCCAATCTAGATTCCGAGGAGAGTTGGCAGTTCTTAATGAAACGTAAACAATATGCGAAAACTCTCTCTAATCTTGGTCAGGATGGAAATCGTTCAAATAAGGAAAAATTATCCGTTACTGGAAAAACAATTGATTTTTGTTTGTCGCTGTTCTTGTAATTCTGACTCATGAAGATTGGTGCTATCAACGGGCCAATATTCAGAACCTTTAGAGAGCCATGAAGGTCCATGCCACCATAACTGGCTGGACATTAGAACCCCAGGACTGGCACTACGCGATAGAAGATCAGCGGGGTTTTCCGTGGTACTTACGTAATGCCAATCCTTTGGAGTGGTAAGAGTTTGTATTTGGGATATTCGATTTCCAACAAAGATCTTGAAATTATGGGATTCCGCTCTAATCCAAGATAAAACTACCTTAAAAATAGAGAGCTGTAACGAATCTATCACCTTCCCAACGAGTTCTGACAGAAGTACAGCTCCACACAATTGTAGCCTCGGAATTGTGATAGTTTTGAAAGGTGCCACGCGAGTCTTGGCGCAAAGCGAACTGATATGACACTCGTCCGACGAGTCCACAGCTCTTAGATAGACGCAAGCGCCATATGCGAGCTCACTAGCATCTGAAAAACCGTGAAGCTCCACCACTACGAAATCATTCACAAGAACATTCCTGGGAATAGTCAAATCATCGACGTCCTTTAACTGGTTGTAAAAAAGTCTCCATTCTGTTAATATAGATAATGGAACTGATTCATCCCAGCTTAATTGACTCTGCCACAACCTTTGAATTATAATTTTTGC